TGACCTTTCTAGGTTGTTCATTCTGAATCATTATTGTCCTGAGCATCTACGTAAGAAAATGCTGTTCTGGAATTCTCAAGGAGTCTGTATACATATATTAGATATGTATGAGTACATATATATATGTATATATGTATGTATCTATGTATGTATAGCTATTTTTCAAAAATCTTTGAAGGTCCACTTGAAAATAATGTACTGATGCCTCACCCTTTGGTTGACAAATACTGGAGTTGTCAGAAAAGGGATAAACTATCTTTGTTTGGAAACTATGTAGAAATGACAAAATCTAGATACATTCTGAATGTTATTATGTGATGCTTTGAAAGAAATTAAAAGCCTACTCATTTGTGTCCAGTGTGTGACAATAATAAAGAATTCAAGTCTCATACCTCCGGTTTTCTGTTCTGTGCATCTTTGGGATTGTATCTGTTTCCACTCGCAACATCATGCTCGGAAGTTTGTAGTCTGACTCAGAGGAAGCTTTCCAGCTGAGTCCTCACATGGTCTTGTTTACAGCTTCTGAGAGTAGATAATGGTGAGGCTACTAACTTCCACAAGACTCAGCGCACTTCCTGGGTGTCAGTGTGAATGAGATATTGTGTAATCTGCTTGGTATTCAGCTATCTGCACCAAGTTTTGAAATCCTATTTGTTTTTCAGAACTTGATTTTATAAACCAGCCAGAATCTGGCTCTTTGTATGCCCTAAAAGAAATGTGCCTCTGTTTAACTACTACTAAGGTACTTGAATTCCAGTGCAACCAATCCTGTTTTGGAGTAGAGTGGAGAAAGAAATAGCTTAAAGGGTGATTCAAAATAAAGTTGGCAATGGTCCAGTAAACCCCAGTCATCAGTATGTATATCCATATTTATCTCTATCTCTAAAACCATATCTATAATCCATATCTATAGCATCTATCTATATTTATACCTCTCTCTATTTCTCTCTCCCTCTCTCCCATATACCTATAGCTATATCATCTATATATACATCAGCTATATCTACTCTATAATCATTATCTATAGCATCTATCTATATTTATCTATAGTACCTATTTATATTTATACCTATATTTTTACCTGTACCTCTCTCTGTCTCTCACTATCTCTCATATCTATATCATCTATATCTATATATGTCATTTACATCTAATCTCTGTCTATACCTATATATCTATCATCTGTATCCATCATCAATGTATTTTTGACAGACATTGCAAATGGGCAATGAACAGGTTCCATATTTGAGCAAGAAGTGGCCAGACTAAGTCATCCTTGACAATTTTCAAAGTTCTTTTAATGATCCCCATCTTCTTCCTGAAACAAAGGCTCGTCTTTTAAAATATGATATTCTAGTTATGTCATATGTCTGCAAGTCATGGAAAATTACACTCTCCATGAATTAAAGTTGAGGGTCATCCAAAAGGCAATGAAAAGATGGATGGTGGGCCTGAGAAGCCTGCAACACATTGAAAGCAAGGAATTATGCAGAAGAGGTATAAAGGATGTCACCAAAGATATACATGACAGAATAGAAAATAGTGAGAGTGAGAGATAAGGTATGGTATCCTTTTTTGAGATCCTTACAACAGAAAGAGAATGAATGAATTTATGGGGAGACATGGACAAGCGTTACATAGAGTAGGCAGTAATGGTTAGATTATTTTCAACATTAGACACAAATATCACCTCCACTGGAATATTAGGGTAATATTAATTAAAGTCATTTCCACCTTAAGATAAATGTGAACCATTCTATCTCTAGGTTGAATTATAATGAAGTTATTCTTTATAAATAGTCAGACAGTCAGATAACAAGCATTTATTAAGCACTTATGCTCCAGGCATTTTGCTAAATGCTAGGGATACAAAAAAGAGCAAACAAATAAAAACCCCCAGTCCCTGTCCTCAAGGAGATCTCATTCTAATGTTAGAGATAATATGTAAATACCTAGGTATGTACACAATACATATAGAGTAAATATGTAAGATGGTTGTAGAAAAGAAGACATAAGTAACACAGAGAAACCTGAAAAGACTCCCTAAAGAAAGTGGAATTTGAGCTGAATCTTGAAGGAGGCTAAGAGGTGGAGTTCAGGAAATAGCTCTGAAAAAAAATCATTAATTCATATATTTATCTATTGATCTATTTATAACTTTTTTTTTTTACATTTTAAGTTCCAATTTGGTAATAGCTACTAATGTGGTTCCTGAATTTTCTCCTGAAACTCATAAAATTGAAATCTTTAAGCCTTAAAGGAAAGATTGACAATGATATGACTATGATAGTGCTGGAGTAGTCATTATACTGAAGGGCCATATCAAGCAACCCAGGGAAAATGGAACATGGACAGATTTTTTTTAAGGAACCAGATTAATTCTTCTAGTGAGTTTTAGAACAAACCAATGGAAGCTGTATATGATCTGTTTGGTTTATGGAGCAGAATATGAACCATTATGACAAAGTGTTTGGGAGCATTATAAATCCAGAAGCAGAGTTTCTCTTTGTGTTTTCTTCTCCAATCAAACCACACCTTATTTGTCATCATAGAAGCATTTCTTGTTAATGTGGACATTTTTATAATACTATATTGAAGTAGAAATTTTTATCCTGAATATTTGAGAAACCATAATTGTACTCATTTGTTTTATATTCATAATTTCTAATTCTCAGCTATGAAACCTATGAAGGCCAACCAACATCAGTGTTATAATTCATTAATCTTTTTTTCATAAAGACATTAGATCAGGAGTCCTTACCAAGGACTTAAAATATATCAGTAACTATGTCAATATAATTTTTTTTGTGAGCTTAAATATTTTATTTTATGTACTTGAAAATATTATTCTGGAAGGAAGCCATAAGCTTCACCAGATTGCCAAAGGGGTCCATTACACACAAAATAAGGTCAAGAACTCCTCCATTGGCTAGAATACATGAATGTGGGAAGTAGAAAGTAGTCATTCAGATTAAAAGACAAGAATTAAAGTGTAAGAATGGTCATAAGGCTTCAGGTGTGGGCCACATGTCCATTTTCTTTACTAAGAGACTGAATTCTAATATATATATATATATGTATCAAATTGACTTACTGAAAATAATAAAAAATAACTAATTGTATTGTGTTACAATGCATGCATTTAAGTCAGAATGGGGATTCCTTAAGTAGAATTTGAAGAATTATCACAACAAAACCATTTGGCAGTATGTAGCTCATTATTAGGTTATTTATCATGTATATTTATATCTATCTATCTATTTATCTATCTATCTATCTATCTATCTATCTATCTATCTATGGAGATGGAGTGGCACAGTTGATAGAATGCCAGGTGTGGAGTCAGGAAGATTCATCGTCCTGAGTTCAAATACAGTCTCAGACACTACTGTCTGACCCTGGGCTAGTCACTTAACCCTGTTTGCCTCCATTTCCTCATTTCTCTTGGGCAAGTCACTTAACTTCTGTTGCCTTAATTCACTGGAGAAGGAAAAGGCAAACCACTTCAGTAGGTTTCCAAGAGGGGTCACAACTGAAACAACTCAACAACATACGTGCATATGTACATATGGATTTTTCTTGGCAAAGATACAGGAGTGCTTTGCGATTTCCTTCTTCAGTGAATTAAGGGAACAGATGTTAAGTGACTTGCCCAGGGTCACACAGCTAGTGTCTGAGGCCAGCTAGTGTCTCAACTCAAATCTTCCTGACTCTAGGCTCAGTGTTCCATCCACTGAGCCACTCAGCTGTCTCTGATGCAAACAGAGATTAAGTGACTTGCCCAAGGTTAGGAAGTGTCTGTGGCTGGATTTGAACTCAGGTCTTCTTGACATGTATAGATAGATAACTTTGTTTATATTTGTATCTTGTTTCCCCCATTAGATTGCAAGTTCCTCAAGGGCGGGGATTATCTTTTGCCTCTTTTTGTATTCCCACTGCTTGGCACAATGCTTGGCATATGGTATTTGTTTGATTAATGGTTATTTGTTGATTATTGATTGAAAGTGATATTCCCCAATTACATCAACTCCATGTGTCTGAGTTTACCCAAAGAGGAATTCTAGAAATCTCACCTCACAGAAAAGCAAAAACAAGACAGAATAACGCAGTGGAAAGGGTACCAGGTTTGGAGAAAGAAGACCTACCATCATATTCTAGCTGTGCTATGACCTATTTATGTGTCCCTGTACAAATAAATTTCCCCCTTTGGGCCTGGATTTCCTTATCTGTAAAATAAGGTGGGTATTATGAGGTGATCCCAAGATTTCCTTCAGTTTTAATATTTAATCCTATGATCTGAAGGATTTCTGAAGAAATTATCATTCTGAATAAATTGTTAAATATAAATTTCTTATTTTAAATAGGAGCCACAGAACTATTTGTCTCATTCATCTTTTCCCAGAATGATCATTGTCCAGTCTTCTTTCACTAAAACAATAGAAGCATGCTAAGTTGTTATTAAAAATGTCCAAATGTGACCTTGGTCTAAATATACCTTTAATGGCCTTGGGAAAGTAAATTGTAAGGAGGTAGTGTGACTGGGTTTATCTACTTCACACCTGTGTTGAAGTATACAGTACCTAGAGCACTTTATCACCCCTTTGTCAAAGGAAAGTGATGTGTAATTATTTGGATATTAGCTTTTTGTCCAGCAATCACCCAATCTTGCCTTATCAAGAACCATTTGATTAGGGTTCACATGCTACCTAGTGACTCTGGTATCATGAAAATTCCCAACAGATTCTTGTCATATGAACTAGGGTTTATCTCCTTCCCATGAATCATACTTTATCCTTCATTATTAGCTCTTTTCCTCTCAGGAAGGGAGATTTGCAGCATTCCAAAAAAAAAACTTTTAAATTTAGTTAAATTAAATTAAATTAGTTCTATAAGGAAGTGGGAATACATGCTAAAATAATATTTTGCTTGATCATAGAGAATGGATAATTTCCTTCCTATTTTTTCCTGTTTTAAATGTTTTTGTTTTTTGTGTGTTTCAGGGCCATGGTGGTAAAGAAAACCACAAAATGATGATGTTGCTCAAGGCCGTTAAATGCCATCAAGATGTTGACAAGATAAAGCTTCATTTTCTGTGGAAAAGAGACCAATTTGCATCTTGCATGGAATTCTTTTTAAAATTTTTTTCATTTATTTTGTTTGAAAATCACCTACATTTCAGAATGTATCCTTCCCTCTCCCAGATAGTTATTCCTTATAACAAAGAATAAAAAAGAGAAAAAAATCAGGAAAAATTAACCAAAACATCAATCAAGTCCAATGTTACATGTAGTATTCCATATTCGTAGGCCCCTACCTCTACAAAAATGGGAGGTGAAATGGCAGGTATTTTTAAATATTTTTTTGGGGGGGACCAAACAATGTCCTGTTTTGATCGTTTACTCATTCTTTCCATTTACATTAATTTTTTGCACTGTTTCTCTGATTCTGCTTATTTTGCATCATAAAATTCTCGTGCTTCCCTATATTAACCATAACATGATTTCTTATAGCACAGTAATAGTGTTTTACATTTGGTTATTACAATTTTTTTTTGGTCAGGCAATGGGGTTAAATGACTTGCCCAGGGTGACACAGCTAGTTAAGTTTTATGTATCTGAGGCTGGATTTGAACTCAGGTTCCCCTGAATCCAGGGTCTGTGCTCAATCCACTGTGCCACCTTGCTGCCCCGATTATTATAATTTTTTTTAGCCATTCCTTAATAAGTAGGTTAGTATTTCCTTTCCATTTTTCCCTGTAACAAAAGTGTTGCTGTGAATATTTTAGTGTACATAGGGCCTTTCCTTTTGCCATAGGCCACCTTGATAAATAGCCTAATGGTGAAATCTCTAGGTCTAAGGTTTAGGACATTTTGTTCACTTTCTTTGAATAAGTTGAAGTTGATTTCTCGATTAGTGAGATCAGTTTACAATTCCACCAAGTCATTAGTCTATCTTTTTTTCTACAACCCCTATAATATGGATGATTTCTACCTTTTGTCTTCTAAGGTCAACTTGGAGGCCAACTGCACAGAGAAAGTCTACAAGTCAGTAAGCATTTATTAAACACTATATGCCAGGCACTTTTCTAAGCACTAGTAATACAAGTAGAAACAAAAAGAAAGATAATCCCTATCCTTGAGGAGCTTATATTCACCTAGGCAAAGATGAAATACTAAAAGGAAGCTAAAAAGTTGGGGATGTGCCTAGGGATGCCTTCCTAAGTGGAGAGGGTAGAAAAGTCCAGACAGGAGAGGATCTGGGGGAGGAGTAAGAAGTAGATAAGGCTGGCTGGGGCACCTCTGGGAGGAAATCACCAATCAGAGAAGGGGTTTTAGGATGGAAAGGGATCTTTCAAGGTGAGAAGGATGCTGGGAAATGGTAGAGAAATCTAGAGTCAGGAGCTGAGTTGGAAGAAGAATGGAGAAAGTAATTTTAAACTCATTGTCAATTTATATAGGACCAGTTTTCCAAGACTGGTTATCACTTAGTGCTAAGGAAGTAAAATTAGGGATTTTGAATAACATATGATCTAGAGATAAAGCATGAGGTAATGATAATGGGCTGGCTTTGGAGTCAGGAAGACATAGGTTCATGTTCCTGGCTCCAACATATACATACCAATTGTGTGACCATGGGCAAATCATCTAACCTCTTCGTACTCTGGGCAACTTTCTTAGCCTATAGCTATTTGTCTGTGACTATGGAGGGGGGTTTCCACATGGGGAATTCCCTACACCAATGAAATTACAGGTCTGGAAAACAATTTAAAAATGATCTAGTTAGCTATGTATTCTGGCCATTGGCTGCATTCCTATTTCTACTAATTCTCTCACAAATGTCAGTGAGGAACTTGACAAAGAGAGACTGGATTAATAAGTATACATTTCCCACAAAACTATAAAAAGAATTCAAATATAAAATACCCAAATTAACAGAAAATGAAATGGAGATCTTAATTCAATCACAGAAAATGAAATTGAATAGACTATTAAAGAACTATGAGGCAAGGGGAGTAGGGATTGGTCCAGATAAGCTTAAAGTAGAATTCTATCAAACATTTAAAGAATGATCAATACTTACATGATATACATTATCTTCAAAAACTGAGAAAAAATGCACTACTGAACTCCTTTTATAAACAAATGTAGTCCAGATTACCTAAACCAGAGAGAGAAAGCAATAAAAAAAATGTAAATCAATATTACTAATGAATGTTGATAAAACATTTAAATGAAATCCAAAAAAAGGACAACAGTGATATATATACATATATATAATATATATACATATATATATACACATATATATAGAAATTATTTACTATGTCTGAGTTATATTTATACCAAGGATTCAAAGATGGTTCAAAAATAGAAAATATCATAACAAGCATATTAAAGAAGAAAAGCTCTGAACATGATTACATCAACGTATGCAGAAAAAGCCTTTGACAAAGTACAATTATTTATTCCATGTATTCTAAAGCACTAAGAAGCTCACTGTATTGGAAAGAGAAGGGCATGTCATTTTTTAAAAGAACTATTTCAAACCTATATCTTTGTGATAGTGGATGTTTTTTTTAAAATACCTTTTGATAAAACCTCATTAATACATCTGTAATTAAAGGATGACTTTTTTTTTTCAGCCAGCTAAAGGTCTTTCATGAACCAGTGATCTCACCTCACATTTTGCATGAGATTCTCAATTTGTTTCTTAACTAGCCAAGGATGTGAGTGTGTGTGTGTGTGTGTGTGTGTGTGTGTGAGTGTGTGTGTGTGTGTGTATTCTGGAAGCATTTATCAATATATAATATTGGTAGTAAGTCTTTAAGACAATGTCTTTTTAACTATCATCACTCTACGAGAACTAAAAATGATATATTCATTGATTAATTTAAAACATAATTGAATGCAAATAGCACTGCTTAGGAATTAAAATTCTGGGGTTCTAATATCATTACACCACTTACCATGTGACCTGGACAGATTGTCTAGCAAGTTCTCTAGGTATTTATTTTTCCATAAAATGGATTGTAAAATGGCCAAGGTGATTTTGTCACTCCCTTCTAGCTCTAAAATTCTTTGACCAGATGCTGACTTTGAGTTTTAATTACCAATTTATAGACTTTATATATTTGTGTTACCAAATGCAAACTTTCAGTGATTAATAACTCTCAGATTGTTTCATGAATTGTAAAGTTTGGTGGTTTAGTCACTTTTCTGCCTCTTCCTGTAGCACCCACATAAACTCAGCCTCTCCTCAAAACTCATCATTGGCATAAATATACCACTTTCATCCCTTGCATACTCTCATTTCCTTGCTATGCCATTAATATGCAGTACTCATAAATTAAGTAAAAGAAAACCGACATTTTTGTTCATGTTTCTCAAATATAGCATTTGCAAGGTATTTACTCAGATCTACCGTAGTATTGATTCCCTGACAGTGTCTCCCTTCTCTTTTTGAGTTGAGAGGACCTAATACCGGAAGGCACATGATGCCCAGACCCCAAGGCAGACACTTCCATTTTTGGCTAGTTCAGAGAAGTAGAGAGATCTTTTATTTCACCAATTTAATTCAACAAACATTTTTTAAGACTCCACTTTCTGCAGAAAACTACAAAATACACAAAAATGTAATTCCCTTCCATGTGACAATCCTTCAAAAATAGGAAGACAGGTGTCATCTCAGTCTTTTTATCTTCAGACAAAATATCCTTAGTTCCTTCAACCAATCAATCCTCATATGATATGGTTCCAAGAGCTCTCATCATTCTGCTTGTTCTTTTTTGCCCACCTTGACTGCTATTCCTAATCCATGGAGGCCAGAACTGAGCACAGAGCTTCTAGATATAGACTGTTCAATGCAGATAACAGCAAGAAGAGTTCATTTGATTTAATCAGTTCATTTTTCAGATGAGGGAACTGAGACTCAAAGAGAGGATATGAGTCATACAAGCTAGTGTCTCAGAAGGGGCTAGAAGATTGTGTAGTTTTTATAGGATTTAGAACAAAAAAGAAATTTAGAAATTTAGCCTAGTGTAATCCTTCCTTTGGAATCCCTGCTTTTAAAAAACATTCTTACTGATTTCTAAGGTGATTGATTAAATGACCCTCAGCAAGAATTCTCCTATACATAATTAAAATAATTTTTAAAATAAAACCTGTGATTTTATCACTATTTCCTCCCTTTGAAGAAATGTCCTCTACCAATGCAGATTGGCAACTTTTCTGCAATTTAAAATCTTAAAGAGCTGCCTGGGGCATTGGGAGTTTCAGTAACATGCCCAGAGTCTGTTCTGCTTCTGTCACTTACTAGCTGTGTGACCTTAGGCATATCTAGATCAAAAGCAACATTTATTCATTCAGTCAAAAAAAATCCACTATGAGTAGACACTGTACTAAGTGATGGGAATATAAATACAAACAAAAAGAAAGATAGTCCCTTTCTTCAAGGAGCTTACTTTCTAATTGGGGAAGACAATATATAAAAGGAGGCTGAAAATCAGAAATGGAGGGAAGGAGAGGGTATTATGTCACAGGGGCATGTTGGAAGAGTCTATATTATAGCTTGGTGAAAAATGAAGAGATGGCTGGCCTGGATGCCTCCTTAAATGAACGTTCTGGGAGGAGTCATCCAATTAGAGGGAGGGATTGAAGGTGCTATGGGTATTTCTGAGGTGTGAATGCCAGAGCTGAAGTGATCTTCCAGAATGAAGAATTTTCTGGGGGCATGATGGAGGAGTCCAGATTGCAGCCTGGTGAGAAACAGAGATTCATTAAATTCTAACAACTCTAGAATTATAGGCTCCCATTTGAAGCTTATAAAGGGCAGTTTCAAGGACCAATAAAAGAAGCTCTATTATTAAATAGTGGGTAGCAAATTTAGGAATTCGTAACCATAAGATGTTAGAAGAGTTCAGATAAGTTCATTTATGGAAGTGAGTTAAAGATACTTACAAACATTTAGGGTAGAAAGTATTATTCTCAAGTTGGACAAACTGGGTTGTGTTCCTTACTCTATCACTAACTAGCTGTGTGACTTTGGGCAGAAAGTCTTTCCACTTCTCTAACCCTCAATTTCCTCAGATATTCCTGATCCCAAGGTCAAAAATCTATCCAATAAACCCTGCAGCCTTTGACAAATCAAGCCACAATTATCCTATCTATAAATTTTAAAGTTTAAATTATTTGTCATTATATAGTGAAATAGCTAAGGACATTGCAAATATTATCTCATTTGACCATCACAACCACCCTGTGAAGAGTTGAGGAAACTGAGGCAGACAGAGATTAAGTGGCATGCCCAGAATCAGATGACTAGGAAGCATCTGAGGTCAGATTTGAACTCAGATCTTCCTGAGTCTAGGCCCAGTGCTTTAGTCACTGTACCACTTAGCTGCCCTCCACAGGCTCTAAGTTTCACAAAGCTCCTTTTTCACAACTAGCCCAGGAGGGTCTTGGTCATCTTTCTAATCTGAATAGCTCATTAAAAAGATT